AAACTTTTCTCTGGCATCATATTCGACATTGTAAAAAGGCCTGCCATTCTTGGTCCAAGACTACAACGCGTCAGAGACACAATCGAATTTGATCCTTTGACCAACTATCTGCTTATCCATTGCGGAAGTTGCTCTGTTCTGGAGCACATTTACTGAGACCTAAACACATGTTCTTCTGGCTCCCTCATCCCCATGGAACCTGGAGTCTTGATCCTAGTCTGGTCATTTAATCCGCAATCCTCTTCCTACAGGTCCCGTCAGAGTCGCTTTCTTGCCTCGTGGCAGCTGACTCTTATCTGCTTCGTTCGTGACATGCTTCGATCACAGCCACCAGATCCGTGCTGCTTGAGGCGTCATAGGCCGCACTCTGCCTCACACTTTTGCTGGCTCGTACATACCATTTTGAGTGAAAGTGTCGAATGAAGAGATTCTAATGACGGTTCCATCAGAAGAGAACGGCGGATTCCTCATGACCAGCTGTCGATTGGATTTACGGGCAGATTCATGCTGACGTTAATCCAGGGTAATCTTCTTCGATGACGAACATCATCAGAGCCATGTATCATCGTCACAACCAAATTTAAGCCAACGAGTCAATAAAACTCACCAGCAAATCCCTAGAATTTGGTATATATACTAAACAGCTGGCCGCTTTGTTCAAGTATAAAGTGATTTGGTTAGTTACGGTCATATGTCAACCACAAAGTCTGTTAGTGTGTCTATCTCTGTATTTGTAGGTGCCTATTTGTGTTCGCTTATGCACGAAACCCGAAGTGATGTCTCAGAGTAATTAGGACAGCAAAAAGGAACATCAAAGTTTGATGACCCCAATCTACCCCTTTCTACATTTAAGTTAGAACCATCCCTTCGATTGTGCAAGATCGGACTCTCGTCTGGTCTTGTTGGTCAGCCTTTGTTTGTTTTACTCTCCATGCACATTTCTTCACCCAACACCTTCACTCGAAATGGAAGTAAACTCAACAATTATGAAACAAGAGACTCCTCGAAAGCCAACTTTTCTTCGTATACCCCAGCCTCACTGAGTAAGCCCTCAATGTTTGGAATCTCAAGCTGGATACAAATCTAACTTGATGCTGCAGAATCCAACAGCACTATTTGGCATGTACGCCGCGCAAATCTGCTGGCTGAGCCTCTACTTCAGGGACTACGCATCTCTCTTGTTTCCATCCATAAAGTCAACTTTACCACTTTCCTATACCCCAGGCTCTTGTCTGCCGACTCCAAATTGCAAATCTCACTCTACTTGCTCTGATTAGGCTTACTGTAAATCTCTCCTCTTCATTCCCCATTGTCCATCTGTGGCCTTACCCTTTCTATTTATTTTCCTCAAGTTTAACACATTTCCTTGCTCTAGCCAACTTCTTTGATGCTGAGCCATCCGTTTTCTGGTCTCCGCCCAGTAATGCTTAAGCAATACGCAAAGCTTGCGCTCATTCCGACTTTTTCCAGTCTCCCATTGACACCGGCCTGGGCAGTCAGGAAGCCAAGTGTCTCTCGAATCTTGCAATTTATTGTATTTCCACAAAATGTGGTGACCCTTTCTGTCAATTTTTCTTGATCTTATCTCTTGCCCATGCCATGCGCTGGGCTACTTCGCATGCTTCCATCTGCATGTTTCTGCAGATTCTTTGATGCTCCTTGATTCGTAGGCTGATCTTTCTTCCTGTTTCACCAATTCACTTCTGCCAACAGTTGCCACATGCTATGCCATCAACTC